TGGCTCTGTCACCAGGCTGGAGTGCAGTGGCACAATCTCAGCTCACTGCAACCTCCACCTCCCAGGTTCAAGCAATTCTCCTGCCTCAGCCTCCCAAGTAGCTGGGACTATAAGTGTATGCCACCACGCCCAACTAATTTTTGTATTTTTAGCAGGGACGGAGTTTCACCATGTTGGCCAGGTTGGTCTCAATCCCTTGATCTCATGATTCACCTGCCTTGACCTCCCAAAGTGCTAGGATTACAGGCATGAGCCACCTCGCCCAGCCTGGAAGTAAGCCTTGAGCAAACCCTTTCATCTCTCTGTGCCCCAGTTTCTCCCTTGATAAAAAAGGGTTAACAACATCACTTATGGCATGTGAAGGGAATTAAACAAGATAACATATGAAAGACCTTTATAAATATGTATATTTAAAAGAAATTGCTATAAACATACTAGCTTTTTTGCAGTTTCAGAAAGCATCACATGTGTATTATATTCAGCTGTTGTTTTATAACACAAAAACCCAATTATATTAAACATAAGAAGAATTGTCATATTAAGTTTGCTGGTGTGCTTCAATTTTCAAATAGGCTTAATTTTATTCACAGGTAGTCAGAAACCTTCAATTATATTTTGGCCAGACCAACACATAGATAAATATTTAGAAGTCAGTAATTTCCTCTAGTTTCTCTACGTTACTCCCTCCTCATTTATATTGTCTCATGCATCTCTATCTGAGTCAGACACAAGCTCTCTTCTACCCCTAAAGCAGCCAGGGAGAAATTTCCTCAGTTGCTTCCTCACCTTACTGAAATGACTAGGGTTTTTAATAAAGAGTCATTCTATGTGAATTATTTAAACTCAAGGCTCATATTCTTCCTTTTCAGGAGTTTGGGAACAAACTTTCAATACAGGAGAAAACATTTATGCTCCACTTGGATCTGATGTCAACCTGACCTGCCAAACACAGAAGACAGGCATCTTGGTGCAGATACAATGGTCCAAGGTCACGGATAAGGCAGACCTGATTGCCCTTTATCATCCCCAATATGGCTTCCACTGTGCCCATGGGACTCCCTGTGAGTCCCTGGTGACTTTCACAGAAACGCCTAAGAATGTGTCAAAATGTACTCTGCATTTAAGGAATGTGTCTTCTTCGGTCAGTGGAAAGTACGAGTGTATGATTACTGTGTATCCACAAGGCATTCAGACTACAATCTACAACCTTCTCATCCAGACACGTGGTAAGTGTAATTGGTAGAGGGATGGAAGCACTTGCTTTCATTCAGCTCTCTCTCATTCAACAAATGCACATTATAAGAAAACCAGGGTTAAGCATGTTGCTCAGCACACAAAGGTTGAACAGAAAGAGTACTGTCTGATAAGGGAGACAGAAAGTGACCACAGCATTTCACAAATAAATGTAAACTTGCAACAGTGGTAAGTGTCAATAATAAAGACTTTAACAGTCTTATGTAGGAGCATATCACAGAGGGCATTGAAATTGTCCTTGAGAAAGTAACACTGCAGCTTAAGTCTGCAGAATGAGTAGACATTAAAACAATTTAAGATGTGGGGTTGAGGCAGGGTGGGATTGTGAGTAATCCTGGAGAGAGAAAACAGCTTGCAAGAAGCTCTTTGGAGTGTTTGAGGAAACGGGAAAATGCTAATGGGACAGCAGTGCAGCGATTAAGGGATGAGGCAGGTAAGGACCAGATCATGATGGACCTGGGCAGCTTCCGTTTGAAAAGGTTTCTATTTTGATCTCAAAACCATGAGAAGACATGGAAGTGTTTCCAACAAAAGGATGGCATGACATTTATAGCGTGATGGTATTTGTGTTGAAAAAACAAAAAAACCATGCTGACTTCCCTGTGAAAATAAGGTGAAGATGTACAACAAGTAGAAGGTACAGAAAACTCAGGAGACCATCTTAGTAGCCCAGAAAAGAGAGAGTGGTAGTTCAGGTAGATATAGAAGGAAAATGGCAAATTTCATGCATTGGGAATAAAACAGATATGATCCTAGAGTGAATATAAAACAAGGTCAGTATGAGTGAAGGAGAGAAAAATGTTGCAGGTGACATCTGGGTATCTGGCATGCACACCTGAACGGTGGTGCCACTCACTGCAGTGGAAGGTAAAGGAAGGTTTGTGTGTGAATTTATGAAAGTGGTTTTGGGCATACTACATTTAGTCTAGGGCAGGTAAAGGGGCAAAGGAGGCTGCTAGCCATGTAGCATTCATACCAAACATACTTCAGACGCCTGCATTTAGAAGTGGGAATCCTGGATTTAAGTTCTAGCTCATTTCTGGATAGAAACAAATTTGACTTGGGGCCTGTCGTGTAAATTCTCTGAGCCCATTTGGAAAATGATTATAATAATGCTTGCCCTAAATTACCTGGTCCTAAAGTAAAAGATTTTCATCTCTGCTAATGGAAAACAATGAAAGTGAAAGCCAACAATTGCAAAATGCACGGGCAATGGACTGTTTCTAACTCAGAGCAAAGTGGCCTGGGAATATAAGAAAAAAAATTACCTCATGAAGGTCATATTAAAGGGAGCACAGAGCTACCCAGGCCAAGCAGCAGGTATAGATTGATTACCTCCTCTTCGCATCTTATAACTTACTTGCTCTAAAAATATGCTGTTGGAATAGTATACCTATAGGCCAAGGTCCCATCACCTACTATCTTACAATACACAATTCCCTTGCTGTTTTCCAGGAGGAACACACACACACACACACACACACACACACACACACGCACACACACTTCAGCTCAATTAAGGATGGAGGGGTTGGAGTAAAGACAAATGGAAGACCTATATAGAACACTGCTTAGCTGCACATACTTTGAATCAGGTAGCCTGTATTTGAACATTGGCTCTATCACTTACCATACATTTCATCATTCCCAAGTTGTTTCAAGTCTCTTACATAACAATTATGGATAATTATAGTACTTTCTTTATAGGTTTCACTGTCTTGATGACTAAATGAGATAATCTGTATAATGCACTTAACATATAGTTCCTGCTAAGGGATAAGAGTTTCGTAAATGGTAGTTTTCAATTAAAAGTAGTGATAATTACAGTGAGCAAATTCTACCTCTCAGTTCGGATTTAAAATGAGCCCTGCTCTTTCTCTTTATATATGGACCTCATTTGGAACCCAGTGGGACATCTGCCATATATTATTAGCACAAGTCCACACTGATGTTGGCTTCATACGTAGATTTTTTTTGTACCTTCTGCCTAAAACAGTAAACGATACCACTGCCTCACTGAGGACTTAGTGCTTCCTTCTTAGTGCTTGCCTTCTCCATGGAGACTTGGCAACATGGACTGATGTTCCTAATAGGAAATAGAATATGTGATGCCACAAAATGAAGACAGCAATGGAGAACAGATAGTATATTATCCAGAAAGGAGAATGCTGTTGCCTTTAAAGAAAATGTATTTCTTAAAATAAAGAGAACTAAGGGAGTTAAGCTTGTAGCTAGTAAAAACTGCAGATCACTGGAGAGGCAGAAACCATATCTATATTTTTTGTGGTTGGATAATTTCCAATCTTCCGGTTGTAACTTTGCTGCTGTCACCTGGATCAGATGAAAAGCAAAGTCCTCAGGGTTAGAGAAATTGTTCTGGTATTGTGTATTTGGGTGTAAAGGGAGCAAAATAGAAAAGAGCAAAACAGAGGTGGGGAAAAATCCTTCGCCACAGAGTGACGAAAAACTTAAGCCTAGAACAGAGGTACAGAGTAGGCAGCGGACTAAAAGGAGGCAGTTGCCATCTGAGAGCTCCGGCAAGTCCACATCCAATAGCATATTTTCTTTTTACCCTTTACTCTTTTGATCTTCTCTTGCTTCTTCTCCTCTCACTTGTACAGTTTCCCTCTTATGCACCTGTGCAGTCTTTAAGTTTACAAGCTAGCTGGGTAAGCAAAACACACTTGAAGTGCAAACACTTATGTAGTCCATAAACAAATGCAAATTGAAGTGGTGCCTAAGAACCTAATTAGAAAATGCTGAGGGACTTGAGGTGTTTGGGTTGATCACCTCTTCCTGTTTCTTTTCTGTTACCATTTGAGTCATTCTCTCTTGTCTGCTCACAACACAGTGTGTGTCTAAATCCTGTTCCTATGCTCCCCCAAGGGCCTAGCTGTGAAAGGATTCTGTTTCTTTTCACAATATTTTGTCTCTCTGTGTGTCTTAGTGCTCTGAGGCTGTGGACAAGAGTAGAAATGTAATAAACAGTGTGTGGTTTGCTTCTTTTCCACTTTCACTTGACAGGGTTTCCTCCTAGGTTAGGAGCTTTAGAATCACTCCAAGAAATGCTGTTCTTTGAATTAAGCCTTAGATTGGCATAATCTAGATTTCATTCATTTAAATGCTACTGGATCCCCACAATACATCAGATTGTAAGATTTTGGCGCATTTTAAAATTTGTAGTTATGAAGATCAGTTACAAGAGTACAACATGACTTTAATTTACCAGTTCACAGCAAATGCCTTGGTGGGCTATTAATGTTATTGAAAGCAGTAGTAGCAGTGAGAATGGCTGGAGAAGCCACGGCCATGGAAAAAGTAAAAATAGTAGCAATAAAATGTTCATAATATAATGTTGATAAGCTTGGTCTGAAACATGTTATTACCCTGCCTAGTTTGTACTGAACCTGAATGCTGGCTCTCCTTTCATCGCTGTATTTAGTATTTATCCAACAAGTGGAGATGGTTTTAAGTGATTCACGAAACAACTTTAAAAGCTTTTATTGTGGAAACCTCTAAATATATACAAAAATTATACAGAGAAATTACAAAAATTATATAGAATAAGCTCCCATGTACTGAACATACAACTTCAACAATTATCAACTCATAGGCAATCTCATTTTATTTAAGCCCTTGTTAACTGCTACCTTCCAAGATTACTTAGGAGAAAATGTGAAACATCTTGTTTATTTTAGTACAAATCTTTAAAAGATAAAGAACTTGTTTTTTCAAAAAAAGCCATAATCCACTACCAAAACTAAAAAAAAAAATTAGTATCTATTATTATTCAATATCCCATCAGCCTCATGTTTATATATATATAAATTATTCAATATATATATATTATTCAATATATCATCAGCCTCATAATGTTTACAAACATTATGAGGCTGATGGGATATTGAATAATAAATATTTAAAATAAATATTAAAAACTTTTATATATATAAATGTTTATATATATTTATATATATAAACGATATAAACATTTATTTATATATATAAGCGATATATATAAACATTTATTTATATATATAAGCGATATATATAAACATTTATTTATATATATAAACATATTTGATATATATAAACATGAGGCTGATGGGATATTGAATAATACTAAATACTACATATCTATATAAAATATAGATATTTAAATTAGCATGCAGATAAACTAGATATATTGTGATTGTTTCGAAAATCCCTTTTAATCAGAAAGCTATATTACATTTGTTATTTTTCCTTTGCAATATATTTGTTGAATAAATTTGATGACTTGTCCAGCCTGGATTTCGCTCTTATAGTCCCATAGTCTCTCTATATTTTTACCTTATAGTTAGCCATAACCCTAAGTTATCTTATATTCTTGATTGAGAATTTATCACATTAAGGTGTTCTTTCTTCTGTTTTGTTTTTTGGCAAGACTATGTGATAGATGATATAAAGTTACATCAGAGGCACATAATTCTGGTCACATGATGTTAAGAGCCACTGATGAGCACTGCCTACATTCATTAAATCATTATTATTTGCCAAATAGTGATATTCTATCATTCCTGAATTTATTAGCTTAAGTATTTCTATAAAGAGAAACTTCCTCTCATTAATTTATTACTTATTTGATGCATAGTTTATGTAAGAAAAGTAGAATAGATACTTGAGTATTTCCCTTTAATCACCAGTTTTTAAAATGAGTTGATTCACTAGTATTTTTAGAAAATAACCCATATGTATTTTATGTTAAGTATTATGAATTCATATGAATTTAAACATAGTGATAAATTTCAATTCATTATGGTAATTATCCTTATTCTACTGAAAATGTCCCCTATATAAAACCTATTAATCCTTTGTGGTATAAGTTGCAAATATTTTCCCAGTTTGTCATTTATTTTTACTTTCTTATATTGTTTGCAATGCAGTGTGTTTCTTATTTTTATGAAATAAAATCTGTTACTCTTTTCCCTTA